CAGTCGCCAACAGCTGTGAGCTATGATCACAGGGTGCTGAGCAAATATTATCATTCTCCACGTGTGCCATGACAAGAGAAACAAAAGGAAGCCCTGTGCAGTGACTCCACTCTCAAGGAGGCAGTAACCAGCTTGTCTGTCACCAGGCCTGCAGCAGCCAAGCACAGCTCTAACCACTTCCATCGAGTAACCAATGGCAAAGAAGTGGCTGGGGTTCGTCAGCATATAAAAGCACAGGGTCAAGTCAATAATAGCTTGATATTCTGGGAAATATCCTCATACTGACAAAACTACTTCACAGAATGCATTTTTTTCTCAAAAAAGGAATTTTATGGTGAGGAAAAGATGATGGCAGATAGAAAATAGCTCAAAGAAAGAAGTCAAAACAATTTTTTCATTTTTGAAGTGGGCTCTCCATGAACTTTAAGCTCCATCTAATCCCCTAAAGGATATTTAAGGCAGCGCTTTGAAATTGCATGGGCCACATTCTGGATGGGGAATAAATGTAAGCCACAGCGATGAGGCACCCCCAAAGGATGCCACTGAAGCTCTGTTTTTTTGCATTTCTCTCTCTTTTCCCTCCCCCTAAGCAGGAACAGGGTACTGATACTGGATAACTCTTGCTCGCTGTTGTTCTGCGAGTTCATCTGTGTATGGCCAGCACAGGGGCATGATCAAAAATGGCAAGCCTACTAGTAAACAGTGGAAAGCCCCTTAGGGAAAACCAAATAAACTAAAAATACAACTTCAAATTCTCTTTGATGAATAATGACTACTTAAGAGCAGCGTCATTAATGATAGGTGGTGTTCAGACAAGGTCTTATTTGGTAAGGATAGTTCACTCAAAAAGAAGAGAAGTTGACTGAAGGCAGACTCTTTCTATGGGTGCTACTTTCTGAGTCTTTTAAAAGCAGAATATTAACCTACATGAGCATTAACTCTATAGAGGTATGTGAGGCTACAGGTCCTCACATACCTGCAAGTGCATCACTTGATAGAATACTCAAGCTTTTTCATCTCCATTGTTTTTCCCTAGGGCAAAAAGTCTGTTTCTATTTTTCAAGTGAACTGATCCGTGGCTAGATATCAAAGGAGTGGCCGCGCTCTTAGATCTTTGAGAATACCATAAGAAACCTGCTGGGAAAGTATGAATGTTTGACACTGATTCCTAGGAGAAGCTTTTGGACCACCATCCTGCACAATTTCTTCATCAGACCGTCATCGCATAGTGCCAGAATGATGTCTGTTTGATCAGTGCAAATGTGAGGAAGCCACAACTCCACAACAGCTTGGCAAAGGACCTGAGAGGCCACATTTTAGAAGATACTTTTGTTTATCAATACTTAATACAATGGGCCATTTGTAAGTTACACAAAAATAAAGCAAGAGCCTGAGATACTTATCCCAAGCCTTCTAAATATGACAGGGCCTTGAAATCAACACTTAAGTGAACAATTAAATCGCCTCAGAAAGCAGGCAGACCCTGTTCTGCTTATCTAGGCTTCATGCCATACTGAGGGACTATGATAGTTCTCTGTCAAGGCTGTCCTTGCAGAATTTGCACTCTAGCTACATGGGGCTACTGGGCACTTGAAACGTGGCCAGTCCAAACTGAGATGTGCTGCAGTGTCAACTACACGCTGGGTCTTGCAGGCTTAGTTCAAAAATAAAAAGGTAAAATACCTCATTAATAATTTTTATATTGATTACATGTTGAAATGATATTGCATTAAATAAAATATATAATTAAAATTCATTTCATCATTTCTTTTTGCTTTTTCTAAATGTGGCTACTAGAATGTTTAAAATATATAAACATACACGATTCTCACTATATTTCTATTGGACAGTGCTGCTCTAGACCCATGAATTACAGGAAGAAGATGGAGATAACCTTTTGCACAATGAGCAGAGGTTTATCTGCAGACTTTATAAAACAAGTACTTCCCATGTTCTGCTGCCCCTGTCATTAATAGCATTTATAAATGACATTCTTATCATAAGCCTCCCCCTTTTAATGTCACAGAGAGATGCAGTGCCATTAATTTAGGCTTTTTCTTGAGCCGCCGTATTATACATTAAATGTAGTTTAGTCAAGACGTGCCTTTCAAAAGCTTCACCTTGAACATCCCCCAATCATCCACGACTTACATTCTCATAATATGCTGTCAATGATAAAATTTTACTTTGAAAACTATGTCTTCCTGGGAATACTGACTTCGTTGGAGCTAACGAAACATGTAAATTTAGCTCTTCCACAAGTTCTCCAAATGTCCAGACTCATAAAGCAGGTGAGGGAACAGAGACAGAAGTTATGACAAAAATGACTGGGCCCACAGATTGTCAGGAAGAGAGTTCCTTTATTTAGCCACTTATTCATTAAGCAACATTTATGAAATGCTTACTACCTGCCAATCACACTTCTACTTGTGATTTTCTATTTTCTAGGCTTTTTGATAAAGTGGACGTGTCATTCTCAAAAAGAAAGTAATTTGACAGAAAACTTTCCAAATGTTCGCCAACTGCCTCCTCCCCTCCCATTACCTGAGTGGTGGTGATGGTGGTGGTTGATTCGGGTGAAGGTATGACCACATTCTTAGCAGATTTTTGTTTGGTTGGTTGGTTTGCAAGAATGAAATTGCATTGTCCGTTTCAGGTTTCTCAATAGCTTTTTCAACTAACTCTCAACATCATCATTAAAATTTTTTTAAAAAGGGAGGGGATAAGTAAAATGTCAACTAGTCTTTTCTCTGTAGTGTGGTATTTGTTCCTTCCTCTCCCTCTCTAACCCCCACCCCACTATCTCCTTTAACTGAAACGGCTTTAGTGTTCTGCCACATAATTTTCTCCATGCTCATATACATGGGGCAGAAATCCAGGTTTTGGGGGGTGCCTGAAACATCTACTTTGGAGGCCCACTTTAAGAATACAAAATTACAAACACAAAATTAGGTATAGGACTTTAAAAGGTGCCCATGCGATTGAGGGTCTCTAAAGTTTAGGCTTCATTAGCTTCACAGGAAATCACTTCTGGTCATATAATACAGATATACATATATGTATATGGGGTGGAGGTGGATCTTGTTATTGTTTGTTTTATTAAAAAGGGGGGATTATATTGTAAGCACTCTGCTATATCTTTTCTTCTCAACAACGTATTATAGAAATCACTCCAAGACAAGTGATATAGCTCAAATTCATTTTTCTAAATGACGACATAACATTCTAAGGTACTACAGGTTATTCAGCCTTCCCCCTTACAAGTACATAGCCTCTTCGTCTCTAGTTTTTTGGGAATTTTTTAGGGGGTTGTACTTTTTTTTTTTTGGCACTACTAAAGATGCCATGATAACAATGTTTTTATGGTTAAAAAAAAATTTGAGGTCTTTAACAAATTTCACCCAATTTATTAATTTTGGAGAAGAGGCAGTTTTATAATGTTAAACCTTTCTATCTGAGAACTTGGTATGTATTTTTCCATTTAGTCATGTCCCATCCACAAGGAATCTGCAATCTTATAGGGAAAATAAAGCTTGTATACCAATAGCTATGATGTAAGATAAGAAAAATGGAAAGTACAAATTCTAACACGTGAAATTGAGGGAGAAAGAATACTCTAGAGAGTGAGAGCTGACCAGTGTAGGATTTGACACACACTAAATAGAGGAGAGGAAAGGTTAAAGAAGATGGGCGCCTAAGAGAAAGGAAGCTCAGCCAGGGCACAGAGACATTCAAGAAACAGTAAGTACACAGCTCAGCAGGGATGACTGAGGAAACAAGCTGAGGCAGCTAGGTGAGCTGGAGAGCAGCCATGCTAAGAATGCCGGGACAGGGGAGCTTCTCCTTACTTCTGCAGGGGAGGAATGGGAGCAACAGCCAGTTTGGGGCCAAGACAAGCCAAGATAAGAGCTCTGTTTTAAGATCTCTCAGGCAAGTGGGTGAAAGACCAAGAGGAGAAGGGTGAGGGCTCCCTTAGACAGTGGTTATAATAGTCCACGAGAGAGGATGTGAGACCTGAGCCAGGGAGAACACAAAGGGAAGGAGGGAGGAAACACATCCTGGGACACTGGCAACAGGAATTCAAATACTTGTTAGATTAGGGAGACAAAGAGAAATGTTTCTGGCCTTGAGTCTGGGTGAACGGTAGGATGGTGACGCCATTAATACTGATGAACAATGCAGAAGCCCATGTTTGGGCGAAAGATGATCAGTTTCTTTTCAGATATGTTAAGTCTAACATGTAAGCAGGATACCCAAATAGACATGTCCTGAACTAGAGCCCAAAATGTGAGGGCTGCCCTTGTCCAGCTAAGGATAGTGATAAATTTTCTAACTCCTCTGGAGAACCCCAACAGATGAGCCCACTTTCTTAGAACCTTGAGCCTACTCATGGTCTACAGGCTTCTCATCTTTCAGGAAAAGTTAACTCCTAGATTCCTCCTTCTACTCAGAAAGTGCTCTTCTTCAATGCCTCCTTATAAAGTGACCTAGCTTGGACAGCCTTTGCCTAAAATCTACAACACTGAGCAGGCAAGGCATTATTTGAAAGCTTTGTGATGGTGCCATAGGAAAAAAAATCAGCCAACTCTTAGAAATAAGTAAATTCAGCCATATTTCAAAATAAAATTTACGCAGTCGAAAATATTACAAGGCACAAATCTAGTTTTGTTTTAAATGAAATTTGAATTTTAAAATAAAGATAATTTATAATTTTGCTACCAAATTATACTTTAAAATTATTTTTTATCATAAGCTAAAGACGCAAAGTAATTGTGAATCAAGGTTTGATAAAAGAATATATACAGATATAGGATTTTACCAAGCTAAAATTTTGGTGACTCCTGGTTCAAAGGTAATAACCAAAGATAAAAGAAGAAAACTGACACCTATAGAAAACTCCAGAATGCTTTTATTTAGCACCCATTCAATTTGCAATTCCTGAGTGTTGGGGGGGTAATCAACACGAAATTATATCTTGCAAACAATTAAAATGTACAAACCTCATAATGTTCATATTCATCCACATCAAATGTTTCAAAGTCAAAAAATCCATGTTGTAATCCCTAAAAGCAGAATTTGAATTAGTTTTTCCACACTAAATTGACAAAGTCTTCTAGCCATTCCCAGAATTCCTGCTCACAAAATCATCCTCACTAACCTGGAGAGAAAGCCTGAAATCTTTGATTTTTAATGCATAACATCTTCTAACATTCTTAATTTTAAGACCGTCGTACATATAGGACTAGGCACTTAGAAAAACAGGAAAATATGTCCCACAAAATATGCCTCTTGAATTCTAATTTACATTTGTTTTGCACATAAAATTAATTATATATATAAAATGGAACATATTAGCAACCTTATAGTTAAAACCTATGCAATTAATTCATATTTAACTGTGACAGAATATATAATAGTGATTAACTTCTCAGATAGCAGCAAAATCAATTATTCCCAGGAGACTTGTTTTCCTTTTACCATTAACGAGATATTTAGCAAAAATGGCATTTTTACTTAGTAGGCTTACTTAATTTGTTCCTAAAATTCTACTTCGGGAGAACTTCTTTTATGTCGTGATAGTTTCCGACAGAGTAAAAGTGTAACTGACTGCTGTTACAGTTTAGAAGGAAGACTGATATTTTTAACAACACAAAGAAAAACTTCATGCTGCTTTTTGTAACTAATGACTTAGAACTTTTCAAAACTATCTGGCTTGCTCAGATGTAATATCTTAAAGAGGACAGAGCCTTTTACGTTATAAGCCGTGAAGCTAAACAGATTACAACAGAATACAAAACCAGTTACTTGGAAAAGTTACATGATCGAGTCATTAAAAATAGAAGAAACCATTAAGTCAAGCTCGAGTACATCTATCTTTGAAAACACTTTACAGACCAACGTTTTTCAAAACGTAGAACATGGACCACCTGTAACAGAAGCACTTAAGTAATTTATATTTAAAATACAGATTCCTCGGCCCCATCCTAGAAGTATTAAATCAGATTCTTTGGGGGCGGGGTCAGCATTTTTAACATGTCTTCCTAGGTGATTCTTATAAATGCTCAACTCTGACAAGACTGGATTAGACAACCTCTACAGAATAAGCCGAACAACTTATTTAAATTATTTCACCTTTAAAGAAAGCAATCTAGTTCATCCATATGCACCATTCCAGAGAAAACAGTGAGAAAAATATACCCTGAACTAGCCACTTTCCCTTTCTTTAAAGTGTGTGTTTGTGTATGCCTCTGTATGCAGACGTTCACACACACATAAACTATGCTGCTGATGATGTCAATACATCAAAATCAAAAAGATGCGCTTCCTAAAATAAGGCAAAATGTGGCTATAGTCTGTCTACATTCTTAGGAGGTATGGTACTTGTCACAAAAATGGCCCAGAACATTCGAGCCCTATGTAAGAGAGTGTACAGAGGGCAATGTGTCTCGGTGTTTAAAGACATGGTGAAAAATCTACCAGATCCCCGGAAACCTCCTCTACATTTGGGTAAAATACACTGCAACACCTAACAAAATGAGTTTACAGACGACCCTCTTCATGAACAAAGGCAGACCTTTCCTCTACAACACAGAGGATGTCATAAGTTTCTGTATCAAGTTACCATTCACTATAATAATGGGCAGGATAATAATGATACTCCAGTGTGAACTCTTTCTGAATTTACTAAGCGTTAGAAAAGAAATAACCACTACCAGATGGCAGGATAGGCAAAACAACAATAACAGTGACAATAAATAAATTACTTCTTTTCCCTCAGGGGTATTTTTCAAAGGCTGTAATCGTGGATTCTATGTTGGGTACCATCTCCATAAGGGTCCTTAACTGGTGATACTGGAAGTGCTTGTTGGTGGTATTATTTGCAGGGGGTGGGCTAGAGTCTCTTGATAGTTTTTAAGTGAACAGAAAAATATTTGAAAACTATTTTAAAGTTGTACAGAGTTTACATGCATTTTTAAATGAAATGTCAAAAACAAACATACATAAAACAGATAGCATATTTAGCATACCAATTTTCTCAACTCAAAACACAATGAAATCAGTTTTACATTACCTCAGAGAACAGAAACTGGAGCTAGAATTGCTGCTAATACTATACTTACAGTCCACGATGACCCTTGCCAATGGGCTGTGTCATACGTACATTCCTGACTGATAAATCATGGCTATATGTTCAAGGTGGAATGTTGTACTTTGAACATTCATTAGAATTCACAGTATAGCTTGCATGACTTCTCAGATTGTAAACCAATGTTTAACATGTCCCAATAGTTCTCAAGAATCTTCTAGATTAACTTCTGCGTTTTATATATATAAATAACTCTGACTCTGAACTTTAGTGTGCATCAAATCACCTGGAGCGACTGTTCAAACACAAACTTCAAGGCCCCACTCCCAGAGTTTATGATTCTGCCGGTCTTGGATGAGGACTGAGAATTTGCCTCTCCAACCAGTTCTCACACTTTGACAACTGTTGATTTACGACATACCCTGAGAGGCTATGAGAAAGAACTCTGGATTGACAGGGAAATGTGAGTTAAAATTAGTCCTCCTAATAACTCTGTGACCCTGAGAGTGACTTAACCTCTGTGGAGTGGTTTCCTCCTCTGTCAAAAGGAGATAATAATAACTGGCCTACTTACTACTTCATGGGCGTGTCATAATATTCAATGAGAAAACCAATGTGGAAATGTCTCCTCCACACTAACAGAGGAGACCAGTGGCTTAGGCAACTTCCTGTCTCTCCCACGCCAAGATCTAGTTTGATAATGAGGCTGAATGGCTGACAAAGCAATACCACAGGCACAGCAGTAGATGGAAGTGATAAATCTGCCCCAGAACACAGATAGTTTAAACAGAAAGGGAGGCCCCTTCCACCCTATAAGGAGTTACAGAGTTACCCTCCTACCCTCTCCCCGTTTGCCCTGTAGTTTGTATTCTATAGATCCATCATTGTTCAAGAAGTGGAAAGCCTTCTGCTTACTGGCTCCCCTCTCTTTTTTCCAGCAACAAACAAGATGTTGATATTATTTCTTTTTCATATTTTTAAACTAGTGTGTCAGCTACAGCAAGGAGAACTGTATTACCTTTCTGATTCCCTGCAAACAGTCGAGGATGGTGAGGTTGTAAGAGCAATTTCCAAAGGAAGCATCCCTACAAACAGAAAAAACTTCACATTAAAAACTTGCATCTAGAATATCCAAATAATAAAATACCCAAGTCAGAGGGAGACATGCCAGTTTGGCTTCACAGCTGTCAACACGGTAAACTGATGTAACATATCAGCTCCTACTCGTTAACTACTCCTGCAGCTTAACTGAAGCACTTCTGAAGTTGCTTTAATCCAACAGGCAGAATTAATAAGAAAGCAGATTTAAGAGCCTGAACTCTGCAGTGAGGCTGCCTTGGTTCAAAGTCCACCTCTGCCACATACTGGCTGGGACCTGGAGCAAGTTATTTTCTTTCCCTCTACAAGTCGGTTTCCTCATCTGGGAAATGAAATTACTGATAGTAGCTAACATTCATAGGATTGTTGTCAGAGTCATTAAAAAATATGTCAAGTCCTTCATGTAGTGCCCAGCACATAGGAAGCACTTAATAAATATTATGACTCATTAATATTTTATTATTATTATTATTAATTAACAGTGAACCGAGCTGTTTCATTAAGTAAAACATTCATCATCAAGAAAGGTATTCTGACAGAGGAATATGGTAAACAGAAGCGTAAAAGAAAAGTGGGACAAGGTATGCAGGTCAACAGAAACCAGCAGTTATTTTCATGGATTAAATGCCACCACTCCCATACCCCTCCCCCCAACAAACTAAGAAAAATGCAGTCATGCTTCCAATCTCCTCAGGATCCATAAGAGCTTCCAACACACCATGAAGTGTTCTACCAAAGGAGTGGGAACCTACTGCACTGAAAATTGAGTGCTTCATACTTTATTTAAGTTTTTAGAACAACTTAGCAGACCTGCTTTAGGCAACTTAAAACTAGAGTATCAAGTTCAGGTCAGTTAAGCAAGAACTGGCACTGGAGCTCTAACACTAGCAATGTTCCAAGGTGGCCAAGGCAAGAAACTTGACCTCAAGGCTCTCAGTCTCCCTGCAGAGGCCCCACTGCTGAACCAAAGGCCCAGAGCTGTCAGGCACCTGCCAATGACAAAGTCCAATGCACCACACCAAGTCGGTCCAGGGACAGCTTGGGGGAGGGTGCCAGAAGACGTTCCATGGGGAGAAAACGACTTTTAAGGCCTTTAACGTATAACTAACATGAAACCAAGTTTTATATCATAACTGTCCAAGGTAAGTTGAACTACGGCTGCAAAGCCATGAATTAAAAAGGTAACATCAACGTCACTGAGTTTCAGCATCCTGATAAGCTAATATAAAAATAGTAAGTTAGCAAAGCAGCTTAACAGAAATGTTTCTTAAGTCCTGAAACTTCAAAGTTGCCCTATATAAATAGGAAGAGTTAGTCTAGATATTTAAGTCTGATTTCAAGAGTTCTTCTTTTAATGCCATCTGAACTCACGGGTCAGTGAAAAACAAAATAGCTCCTTTTTCAAATATCTTGTAAAGATGTAAACCACATATGAAGAAGCAAATTTCAATGGACTAACCCAGAGAAAGGAGCAGCTGGGGAGCTAAGACAAAATATCAGTTTATATAAATCACTACACATGCCTTTGTAGGCACTGGTCTTTTTGGGACAAGGGTTCAGAATCTTTTGTGTGCCCTGGACCCCTGCAAACAATCTGGTGAAGCCTATGAACCCTTTTTCTCAGAATAATGTTTTTAAATGCATAAAATAGAATACACAGGAATAATAGAAGACCTATTCCATTAAATTTAAGTAAAGTTATCAAATTATTAAAAAAGCAAATTTATAATACCTTATTATGCAGTTTTTATTTATATAACAATATCTAGTAGGAGGTCTGATAATTACTATAATTTTGAAGAAGGAATGAACATAAATAATAAGATATAGGAAACAACTGTAATGGGATATAAAAATCTCTATGATTTCTACTGTGACAAAGTCATTTATATTACTAATACTTCTAATAGTTTATTTACAACCCTTATAATTGAATACTATCTCATAAATTATAAGGTTAGTGAAAATAAAGATATAATTTTTGTCATCCAAATTTCATTCTACAGACCCTAGATTAAAAACTGCTGCTTTAGTAAAAAACAAAAAAGGAAAAGAAAAAACCCATCTTTGTATTTAAAAAGAGTAAAAAAACATAAGAATTGGAAGTGCTCTTTATTCCCCCAAGTGTATCTTCCCACACCTAGACTCAGCTAAACAAATTCACAGATACAAGTTATCAGGAAAGCTCCAGACCCAGTCTTTCTGACCATCTGCTAAGTATAGTGAGACTGTCGTGATATCTCCTCCTATAGCCAAAATTTTTACCAATGACTGAAAAGACAGCTGTGGTGACTTGGTGACCAACGCTGAAGACCGGAAGATCTTCGAGGGAGAATTAACATGCCATCTGACAGGATTTGGGCACAAAGCAGTCACAGCAAGCTGGGAAGTCAGGCAGAAGTTTACAAATTGAAATATAACAAGGCATGGAATAAAATTAAGTCACATCCTCAGGACCGAAGAAAGAAGATCCCACACCTTTTTGAACACCTACTAGGCCGGGCAATTTCGATGCATTGGTGCATTTAATCCTCATGACATCCACGTGAAGCCAACAGGTTCCCCAAACCTGCCCCACAGTGGGCAAGAGACAAATGGCTTACTGCATGTGGCTCATACACAGTCACAAGAGAGTAACTGTAAAAGTGAAGGAACCCAAAAACATGTAATATACTCTTTAGGAGGAAAAAAAAAGAGAAAGAAAGTAAAGGTGGCAGACTGAACCCGTTCATCTACCAAAACCCCACTAAAAAGAGAACTTTAAAAGGCTTTCTAAAAATGGAATCCAACAAGGTCAGGGAGAATGAGAGAGAAGACAATAGCAATAAAATTCTGAAAGCTGGAAATCAGATAGATAAGCAGCAAAAAAGTTAGAAGACCAAGAAAACTGAATACAAAGCTGACAGTGAAAAAAATCAGAGACTACACAATTAACACCAGATAATTCTCAAAAGGATCAGTTATTGACTGCACTGGGTTCTTCTGGACGTGAGAGTGAGGAAATGACCAAAATGAGACTGAAAGTCCATTTAAGAAGCTGAGAGGGGCTGGCCCAGCGGCAGAGCAGTTCAATTTGCACGCTCTGCTTTGGTGGCCCGGGGTTGGGCAGTTCGGATCCCGGGCGCAGACCTACACACCGCTTATCAAGCCATGCTATGGCAGGTGACCCACATATAAAGTGGAGGAAGATGGGCACAGATGTTAGCTCAGGGCCAATCTTCCCCCCCCCAAAAAAGAAGCTGAGATATTTTACTCTCTAAAAGTAACATTACCTCCCATTTTATAAATAAGTTTTCCCAAGTGATTTTCCTCAACCACCCAATATTGTTAGAACCATCAGAAAATGGAATGGTTGGCCCTGGAAGGCAGCAAGATACCTACCCCATACAATGTTTGAATTGAATGATGGCTTGTGAGGAATATTTTTCACCTGCATTGTTACATGAAACGGAAGTCAAGGTTAGGAAAACACCTCAAAAATCCCTTCCCACTGGGGGCTGGCCCCGTGGCCGAGTGGTTAAGTTCGCACGCTCCGCTGCAGGCGGCCCAGTGTTTTGTTGGTTCGAATCCTGGGCGCGGACATGACACTGCTCATCAAACCACGCTGAGGCAGCGTCCCACATACCACAACTAGAAGGACCCACGACGAAGAATATACAACTATGTACCGGGGGGCTTTGGGGAGAAAAAGGAAAAAATAAAAAAATAAAAAAATAAAAATCCCTTCCCACTCTGAAATTATATTATTCAGTACAATTGATGATCTCTTTCCTCTCCATATCTCTCTCCTGGGTCCTTCCCAGCAGAATTTAAACATTTTCAGGTCTCTACCATCTATTTTAAAGAAAACCATCCAAAACGTTCTTGACTCTACAACTGCCTTCAATCACCACCCTCTCTTTGGCCTCCTCTTTAAAACAAGACTTCGCTAAAGAATTACTCATCTTCCTGCTTCCATTTTCTCTCCTCTCACATCTTAACCTCCTCTCTTCTGTTTCCACCCTCATCCATGCCATGAGCACTCCTCACCAAGGTCACCAACGATCTCCACTGTGCTAAGCCCAGGGGACGTTTTCTTAAATGAGAGAAAATTCACCATTTTAGCCTTTTTGAAGTGTACAATTCAGTGATTTTCCTATATTCACGATGTTGTGATTTTTAGTACATTCACAATTCACATCACCACTGATTCCAAAACATTTTTATCACCCCCAAAAGAAACTCTATACTTATTTGCAGTAACGCCCCATTTTCCCTTCCCCACCCTACCCTCAGGCCCTGGCAATCACGAATCTATTTTCTGTCTCTCTGGATTTGCTTATTCTAAGCCCAGGCAACATTTCGCAACCATCATTTTATTTACTATGTCAGCAGCAAGTAACTCCCTCCTTTGAATACTCTCTTCACCTGCTTCCTGGATTCTTCTTCTACCTCTCTAAACACTCCCCTTCCCAGTCTCCTTTGCAAAGTCATCCTTCACCGCCCGATCTTTAAAAGTTAGAGCCCCCCAAAGTTTAATTCCAGACTCCAATTCTTCTCACTCCACACTCTCCTAGACCAGGGTTCTCAAACTCTAGCACGCACCAGCATCACCTGGATGGTTCCTTAAAATACACAAGGCTGGGCCCCACCCAAGTTTCTGATTCAACAGGTCTGGGGCCCGGCCTGAGAATCTGTGTTTCTAATAAGTTCCCAGGTGGTGTTGATGCTGCTGGTAGGAGGAAGCACATTTTTGAGAATCACTGCCTTACACAATCCCATTTATATAAATTACCATCCATCTGCCAATGACCCTCAAATTTATCACTCTAGCACAAACTCCTAAAAATTCAAAAATGGTATAGCCAACCACATGCATGACATTTCCACTTGGGCGTCTTAAGGCATCACAAACTCACTGTGTAAGAATCTCTTGAACCTGCCACCACCCCAAAACAACAACAATAATCTGCCTCCAGCACTCCCTATCTGGGTAAAAGTCACAGCT